GCGGAAATGCCGAATATCAACCCGCATAAATGGATTGTTTGAATAATGGATAAAGGAGAAAGATGTGGAAAACGGGGTGATGGGTTAGAGCTGATATTATATCCACAAGCGCTTTAAAATATGTACTTCCTTTGAAATGGCGCAGCAATTTCTAGAAAAACTTTAATTTGGGAGCCCGATCAACTCCATATATGTAGCTTGTAGTTAGTTTGTTTTTCCAACGTTCTTCTAATAGCCAAGTTACCCAGTGCAAATTTAAAGGACTTGAACATTACGTCGAACAACGAATCGAACAGCAAACAGAACGACCTTGTTCGATTTCAACAATTTGAACCAGGAACCCGGAATGAAATGAAATATCGGTTCCGTTCCACAGCGTCATGACAAATATCGGTTCCGTTACGGTTCCGGTTCTAAGAGAAATATTGCGATCCGGTTCGGACCAATAATTTCGGTTTCAACGGTTCAAATCGGTATAGTTTTTTACAAATACTTTAATAATAATTATTATCGATAATAATACATTTTTGTGTTCTCGGTCAATTAATTATACTTTGTATTTTTTAAATTTGCCCTTGCGTCATCAATGACACCACGCATATTCTTATGAGGTTCACTAGTGACTAGTTGCCGTATTATGACACACGGAAAAGTTGAAAAATATAAACTGTAAGTGGTGTTTTATTATTAAAATAAATAAAAATTTTAAGCCCTCCCACCACGCCAAATTACCAGTGATGACGTAGGCAGCGTGTCGTTTCTTGACATAGGATGTTTGCACCACGTACAGGTTATGATTACGCTGAATTTCACTCTATGCATATTTATTTTTGGTATATTATTCAACATTCTCAAAAACCCCTTGTTTGATCCCGTTTGCATCTTCCTCTCTGCCTTTTATGTTAATCAAAATTAAATAATATTTTCATATAATATACATCATGAATGTATATTCTTAACTACGACCGCTGACGCAAAACGCTAAAGACACCGTTGATGACGTCGATAACGGTGCAACACCACATGAACTTGATTCCAAAATCGAAGCCGATGAGTAATATCCTTGGTGTAGCCTAGCAGAGACATAGCGTATTTCATTGGTAGAGCAAGTGCAACACTGGTCCAATATTCGTGATCCATTGGCAGAGTCGTGCTGCACTTTTGTATTTCATTGGAAGAGCAATGCACCGAGTTTTGCACCGAGTGCTGCTAGTGCGCCACCGGCTAAAAAGCTCGTGTCGCACTCAGTATTTTTGACATTGAGGTTATTGGTGGTTGATGATTTTTCATGAAAAAACAGTCCTAAATAGTATTTTTTTATTGTGTTTTTTATATTTGTCTGCGAATCTACTACCAAAATTGTCAAAAATCGCTTGTTGAAGGCAATGGCCTTGATGGAAAGTAGCAGCAGCAGTGAAACCAGTGAATATGAAGAATATTTAGGGCTTCTAGCAGAGAGGCAAGAACTTTTTTTAACATTAAATTATAATAATTATTTATAATAAGCATAAGTATAATTTTTTTAATGAAATTCTATATTTGAGGTTTGACGTAGGTATATGGGAAGGTGCAGTACGATGATGTTTCATTGGGACTGCATGAGAGCAGTTTTTTCAAAGTGTCAGTGCAAAACTAGTGCTGCACTTGCTCGACCAATGAAATACGCTATCAGAAATGCGCGCTTTCCAATGTTCTGTTTTTTTAGAGTGTCAAAGGACCCTGCCCAAATTATACGGAAATTGTGTTTATGTCAGAATTGGCTGGATTTTGTAAATAATATAAATCCCACCTTTCTGATTAAAAGTTACCATTGCACCATTCCTGAAAAATGATTCCTCTTTGAGAAAATTAATTTCATAGATATCAAGTAAAACGCTTGGACATTGTAATGGAGGCTCAGGCTCAATGTAGCACGATTAGGTGTAGAATAGGTAAGCTTGTGGCAAAGTGATGTGTTACGTGGAGTCATTTTTCAGGATTCGTGCAATGTTAACTTTTAATCAGAAAGGCGTCATCTACATTATATACAAAGATCAGCCAATTCTGACATAAACACAATTTCCGTATACTTTGGGCAGGGTCCTTTATTACGATACCATCAAACAGCAAACAGCCTAATTGATGAACTCCGGAAACCGAAAATTGCCGGTAAGAACCGATTAATTTATATCGGTTCCGGTTCTGCTATAAAATATGGGTTCCGGTTCAAAAAGAAGCGATTCCGTTCCGGTTTTCAGTTCACTATCGTTCCGGTCTGGGTCCCTGATCTGAACCACAAACGAAACGTTCATGCCGTCCCCAAAATTGTTTTCTGTAATTATTTTTTTCCTGACCCGTCTAAACCTGAGAACGCGCGCATTTCCTTTGATGTCGGAGAAAGAACAGACAAGTGATGAGAGCGCCGCAAACCGTTCGCCGAACGGCCAGGAATTGCGAACCGGTTCGCAAACGCATTCGTAACCCCGTCCAAATTAGTGTTTCGATTGCTGTTCGGTTCGTTGTTCTGTTTGTTGTTCGGCGTAATGTTCAGCTCTGTACGAAGCTTAAGAAAGTGTACCTCAACTTTGTTCCAATCCATGAAAGTTCAATAATTACCAAACACAAAAATTTTGATGATGTTACTATTTTAGATCTTAAGCATTAGTAGTTTGTTATTGCGATAATATGATATCGACCAAAAATTCACAATTTTAATCTTTCATTCTTTAAAAGGTGATCGCACTTTTCCTCGCACCAAGATCCCGAGCCAAGGCAGCCAAAACAGCGGATGCTTGCGCGCTAATTATTAATTGCAGAAGGCTAATTAAAATTGTTGGGATTCTGTTTATCCGTTCCGCGCTCCCCAAATAAGGGTACTAATTACCGTTGCGCCCGCGTAGTTTAATTACGGCGTTAATTAATTATGAAAGCTCCATCGTATCAACACCTAACGCTATTTAGATAATGCCTGGTGCTATTCCGACGCCGCCGCCGACGCCAAGGCAAAACTGGCAATGTTCGTTTATTATTCCCCAATTTTCGGGCATTTCCTAATTTGTTTTCCGCGCAAAATTAGTTGGCAGCGGTAAATTTATGACGTCGAAAAGTTCTCGAAACTTTGCCGGGAAAATTAACGACGCCGCCCCACCGACAAATATGAAACACAAAATGACTTTACCGCTTAGCAATGAAAATAAATTACCAGGAAAGGGTTGCAAATTAGATAAAACAACAATTCGCTGTCAAACGTTCAGCATTTTGTTGGTCCGTTTTGAGCCAGTTTTGTTCAATTAATGGAAATTTGGTTCAAATTTTAATTACTAAAGGATTTAACGATGAAAAATTATTGTACCTAATAAACCTATTAAAGAACAATTCTGTAAATGGCTGCGTTCACCAGATCCAAAACGGGTTGGAAACAGTTTACAAATACCAACAGAATACGTTGGGTAAACTCTTGGTTCTGCTGAACGATTCAACAATCAAGTGATAGAACGTCACCCTCTGAATGTCATGTCACCACGCAAAACACAAACATCGATTAAAGGCGATTAACCGGTCGGTCATAGTTGACAGATAACCAATGAAGCAAACGTCATTTGCATTGTTTATCTGTCAAAATAACCGACTGGTTAATCGCCGTTAATTGACTAAAGTGTTGAATTAAAATCACTCTTAAATTATGCTTGCAAAAATGGCGACCGTATGCAAAACATGTTTGGTTTCAACGCAAATTCAACATAGCGTTCAGCAGAACAATCGCAAAGCGTTTACCAACGTTTGTATCTTGTGAACGCGCGAAATAATTGCGAAGCTGCTCCGGAGTAACTCAAGTGGGTCACTGGAAAGCACCTCTGTGATCTTGTTATGTCAAAGTTACGACGGACAGTCGAGCTACTAAGTTGTATGTCAGACTTGAAAACCTATAAATCTAGACTCTATAGACCAGCTTATGCATGACGAGATTTTTATACATTTGCGAGACTCTCGTACGAGACGCGATACGAGACTAGACTCGAGCCTTCTTATTTCATCGGCGAGACGACACAAGATTTTATGAAAGTCTCGTCGCGTTGGTCTCCTGGGAATCACTATCTTAATACAACCTATTGCATTCTTCTTAGATACTTCATCTATATGTACCTATTTGAAGTTTGAAGTTTGCTTCTGTAAAAATATTAAAAGCTGAATTAAACTTTGCAAACTTATAGATGAAAAAGAACCAAAGAACGCTCCTGCAGAAGAGAAACTTGAAAATAGTTCATAGCTTTAACATAGGTAATCATTCCTATATAGTTTCGCTTATGAATCAATAAAACTAAAAAAAGTTTTTCCCTAAATTCATTAATTTAAATTATCCTTTATATCCAACATCTACGACTCTCATGTTAATAAAACTTAACCGAATTTTCGATACGAGATTGCATGTTAATGGGAAAAAGTCCGACAGAAAACAGACTTGCGGGGGAAACAACAAAATAAAGGGAAAATAAAAGTTCCAAATTCGATTAGTGTCTCTTTAGTTTGGGGGAACAAAATGGTTGACGTCGTATCAGACACAAACAGTGCTTGTCAATTATAGTAAACATTTTATCGTTCAGTCCAGAGATTAAAATCGTATATTCTAAATCTTTCGATCTTCCATCAACACACCGCTCTATTTTCTGTATGTCAAGTCAAAACGGTAATATTTGACGAGGGATGCGAATATATACATTTCCGCACTTTAAAATGCCGCCGGTTCCCTAACTTCTGTCAACCTAAGTTTAAAACCTTTTAATAATTTCACAGCTCCGCAGAACCTATCATTTAAAGTCTTATTTATTATTGAGGATATAAGAGAACCGGGAGGGGTTAAAGTTTCATTGTTTGTTTCGCAATCGACTGAAACTACATAATTGCTTGTTGGTATACGGTATGTCGTATTTGAAAAATAAAGAAAATAGGCCTCTCAGATTGAACTCGTAAGAAGCCATTATCGATTTTGTATCGTAAGATGGAAATAACTGATTATAACTTACCTCCATTTCGTTCTTCTATTTTGGAACCACGTCTTCACTTGAGCGTCGGTCATTTTTAATGTTTTCGCTAAGGACGCTCGTTCCGCTGACGCAAGGTACTTTTGTTTGTGAAACCTTTTCTCGAGTTCCGCTATTTGAAGTCTCGTAAATGACGTTCTGGGCTTCTTTCGTTTTGGCGGCGTTCTGTTTTGATACGGGTGGCCGATCCGTCTGGTCATTGGGAACGTCGCTGAAAAAGAACCGAATTTGTTGACTATTATATTGTTTTCGCAGCTAGATTCAATAGGAATTGACACTGAAGGCAATAACGAGCAACTTTATTAGTAATGACGAGGAAAAACAATCTACAAACTCAAAATTGTTGTAGGTATTCATCAGTTCTTCAACTGAAATAGTTGCACAAAATGGATTTCCTAAAAAGATACACTAGAAAATACTTCAACTCATAAAAAATGCATTCTACGATTGTCTTAGTTTTAAAATCTGTTCATTAGTGGGAAGAAATCCAGTAACCTTCATCCGATTCGGAACCGAACTATAAATTTCAGGAATCAAAGATGTCGATTTTGTCAAATCAGAATCAGAAATCTGTACACCGATGTGAAGATAGCCAATGGTTGTTCAAAAATTAATGTTCAATATGCTAAAAGTATGTGATAAAGAAGCCAACGGTGCCTACTTTCTTTCATTTTTTTATTTAGGATTTTTATTTGAATTTTCTATTTTTTGTATTAGATTATTTGTACACATTTATATTTTATTCACAGTCAGTTGTTCCTTGTATTCTTGCAACTACTCCATTGTCGCTTGTTGATTAGATTTCTTATAACCGTAAGTGAAAACGTTAATTTATTTTTCCGTATTTGGGCCTACTAGAGTTTGACTCTATCCCTGAGGCTTGTTCAGATGTTGCGTGTCCAGTTTCACCTCCCGATTTCATTTTATATGCCTCCGTGTTTAGCTAGTTATCCGTGTCCCGTTTCATAATTCAGTTCATTTTTATGTCGACAAGTTCGACGGCGGACATGACCATATTGTGTTTAAGAATATAAATACTTTGGCAGGTCGTCACGTCATGAACAACAAATTGTGTAGGTACCTAATTAATTATGTGATATTATTTCCCTATAATTATTTCTTGTTGTTGAACTGTTACCACTGGTTGTAATGTGATGTTTTGTTCAAGTTGCAGTATTGGATTTTTGGCATGTGCAATTTTTTCAGAATATCGACTTTGAAGCATTCAAAAGGGGATTTGGACCTGAATAGTTTCAATTTTGTTAATGTGGTACTTCTTGGAATTGTCTTTGCTTTCCGTTTTGGTACCACAGTCTTGTAGTAAAAATCTCACACCTTGTCTATAAGTTAATTGCGTCTTGAGTTTTCCACGTGCGTGATCGTTGTTAGTGTTCAACTTTTAGTAGGAAGCTGCCCTCAGATAAAAATGAATAGACCATCGTGTTCATCAATTATTCAAAGAATTCCGGGGCAAATAAACCTTATCCGCAGGTGAATGATCACCTTATTACTTTTCCATGTTTTGCAAACTAAAAGTATCGTTATGATTATTTCTTTAAAATCTTGCTCCGAAAAATTGTTTTTCAAAATTTAAGAATTGTCTTCCGCTTTTTACATACAGAATGTGTTTGAATAATAACATCGTAATAGAAAATTGAAATTCAAACTGAATAAAAAGCTGAGCTTCTACGACGGTGGCGCCACGAGGTATTAGTGTCATATTTTGTTTTGAAGTTCTTTCCAAAGTTTATTGAATATCGTCCATCGGATGTTTTCGAAACGTATTCGTGCTATTGAGATTAATGTTTTAAAAAAATCCCGATTAACTATTTTTGCCTGAACACGCTACCTACCAAGAGAATTAAATCCATTAGTCCAAATTCATCAGTCACGTGTCTATCTCCTTCGCTCTCTCCTGAAAGACTTATGGTAATGGACCAGAATGTTGTGTATAACTTTAAACGCGATATGTAAGGGGGGATTATGATAATAAATTAAATTAAATCTTTTCGAGATGTATGGTTGCTTTTAATGGTTTAATGGACCTCAGGTAAATATTCGGGCATTTCGAAGAATTCGATAGTTGACAAGCATAAATTTTAAGCGGGCACGGTAAATTGCCAGATTGCGCCAAATTAATCGCGGTACAACGATTAACACTAATTAACTGTATATTTATTGGATTTTTACATGGGTTGTGGACTACTTGTTAAGTTTATGGCTTTCTCCGCTTTTGCTAAATTAACAATTTACATTTCAACACTGAGGGGAACTACTATATATTATCATTAGTGCGAAATTAATCTAAACAAATAATTCCACTGCCATAAGATTCAGCATACATCACCATATGATATTAAGCTGTATGCAGTAAATCGGGCGTAATAAACCATCATCATAACCAGTGTACCTGCAGCCATTATAAATTTATATCAGGTACTTAGTTAACTGTCATCTCATATCATTATAAGCCTCCACGGTATATAGATGTATACACATACATACACATTATGTATCAACTATCATTGCTCAGGTATGCTAAAGAGCTTGTTACCATTTAAGGCTGTCAATCACTGAACTGGATGTTTTAATAATATTACTCATGCACGCATTGTGTCGTTGATCAATGAATGATTTGCTTTTGCTTGAATATTCAATTGGTCTAAAGAACACTTGAATTTAATTTACGCTTAAGGAAACTTGAAGATTTGGGCCCAAAATTTAAAATACCAGCACATGAATAAGATACTATGGACATTATTGAAACAGTTGTGGAAGAAATTATATCTATCAAAATGGTTCAGCAACGCATCAGCTTTCATTTATAGCCACTGCCTTTTGTGTGGAGATTAATTAATATTATTGAAATTTTTTTAGCCTAATTGAACCAACCTCCGTCAAAATACGAATTTTCTGTTCGCACATTTTTTCATTTCAGCAAGAAAGCCCGTTGTTATCGTACCTAAAAGCTTTATGTTGTTTTGCATTAAACAACTGATATTGTGCATCACGTTTTGTCTTTTGCTTTATAGGCGAACCAAAGTGGCCCATGATTAATTCCGTACTGATAGCAGCGGGATTTTAATAGCTCTTTTACGGTTAAATATGTTGTTTTAATACCGCAGCTTATTGTACCATAAATAAGTTTAATACCACACTCCGGTGCTCGCCTGGTATATAGTGGCGAAATTTATAAGTTATGTCGTCTAACTTTATTAACATGTGGGTTCTTAATCTGCCATGAATTATGATACGACTCTAAGAGGTATTGTTGTTTTGACGGAATTAATAGGTTGTTTGAACAGTTAAACGTTAACGTCCCATTTTTGCCTACGGGTACTGCAAATTATTAAGTTGATTTATCTCCATAATAATCCTTGTTGTTGAAATTATTAACACATAACACTAAATCACAATCGACATATTTAATTTTTATTTCTGAGAATGTTTAACTAACTATGAACTACGAGTAGTAGCAAATAGGTTCTTTATATTGGTGTCATTTCACTCCGTCTTTTGTCCATCACAGTTCCGTTCTTGTCAGTAAGAATTACTTTTTCAGCTTATAATTTCTTTGGACCTTTTTACCTAGATGGTTTCATTATAGTGCGCTTCCTTAGATTAGTGTCATTAGCCAGGCATTGTCGCATTATTTGCTCCTATCATAACATAAAACTAAGCACATTCAACTTCTCTTCGTGATAGTATTGAAATCAACAAACGTGAAAAGAGGACCTGCAAGATGGAGTTGCAAATAAGATATTTGATTTTTGTAGACACATTGTTTGGCATCTAAAAATTATTAATTTCTATTTAGCAAGTCGAAGAAATCGAAAATTACTTAGAGACCGGTACAAGGCCTACTCTAAAATGGCCATCTTGAATGACGACAACCTATGAGGGTGTCACAATGGCAATAATTGATACTTCTAGCGATTGAATGACACCAGTGCCATCTTCCAACACCGACTATAATATAATTATATTAATTATGTCAGCAGAGGAGCTATAGAATATCCTTATACATTAAATAGTAACTAATTAAGTTGTATATTGGCAAATAACCAAACGTTAGACAATTATGTATATTATCTTGTCACTACGACTGTATAGTGGCGAAACTGCGAAACAATAATTAGTACCGAGGTGTTGGTACTTCAATACGTACATCAATGTAAGCAATTTGGGAAATACCGGAAATGTAATTATGTACTAACAACCAAAAATTGTTTTCATTCAATTCTTGAAAGGCATTTATTTTCAACGTTGTTTTTTATGTCACATCACAACAATTTAAACTGATAAATAATTAATTGGAAAATTTCATGGTTCTTGTTGTTACAACACTTTTAAAGGTTAACTGAGTATTTTGTGTTATGCAGCAATCGATTCCTACTTTTCGCTGGCTTGATATTCGTATTTGTTTTTTTGATTAGTTGTAAGCTCACTTTAGGATAACTATTCATGTAGTGTTAAGTTAGAACGATCCGAGGAGGATACCACCTGAGGCGCAGAAGAAGTTTTGAGGGAGTTTGTAGAAATACATGGAATTACAAAGAAGGGAAGTCTGATACTTCTGAGAGTGTGTTGCGGCAGTCGGAGTAAGGTTGGGAAAATTTGAAGAAGAATGAGCACTCATTAAGGAATTCGATCATAGGTCACTTGCCACCCTAGATCTTGTACTGTACCTTTGGAACTTTGTGATGTAGTACAATCTGATTCACAGTCTCTCAACTTATAGTTAGGTTAGGTTTGATCGAAAATGAATGGGCCTATTACGGCCCTCTACTGCGACTCATTGGTCTATTGTGGCTCATGCCTATTTTTTCAATGAATTCCAGGATATTGTTCAGGGGTCGTATTTTCGAATATTCTCGCATACGAAATTTGATATGATTTCGAATGCTTGCCATTGCTGTCAGTCAAATTTCGTGTACGAAATGTACTCGAATGAATTCAAAAATAAGACTCCAGGTCTCCCTGTGGGAGCGTTGCCCCACCTAAGATACGATGCCTCAGTCTGCCATCTGCCGGACATTCGCAAAGAATGTGTGCAATTGTCTCTTCGTCCTTCATGCATAGCCTGCACTCAGCATCATCTGCCAGTCCAATCCTGTGCATGAGGTGTTTTAGCCTAGAGTGTCCAGTGTATAAGCCAATTAGGGTTTTTAGCTTAGTTCTGCCGAGCTCCAGCATCGTTCCAACCTAGCG